CCTCCTCTGGGTACATTGACTTCAATACAGAAACCTAGGAGGCTCGTTGTTCTCACCCCCTTCCATAGACTTGCACAGTAATTATGACAACTTCCAGAGGACGTCCTCCAACCTATCAGAGCTCTTGCAGCATTAACTGACATGTCCACCCAATCAAAGGATCAGATAATTAATCTAGAACTGAAAGCATAAGCTACAGCTAGCTAGCACTGCAGTGCATCAAATGTGGTGAGTAGTTGACTCCGAGAGAGGGTAACTGGCAAATGGGAGGGGTGGGGGCAGGGGTGTATTGTTAAACCATGGGAGCTGTTTACATTTCAAAATAGGGAGGTGTTAAACAATGGAAGTGTTAATGAATTTACCTGCAAAAAAGCAGAGAATCATTCACACAGACCTGATACCTGTATTTTGGTTACAGGGTCTGTGAAAAGGCAGGAAGGATAAATTAGTGTGATTTCGGTCTGTGTATGAAAGAGATATTAGGCTTACGAATGTTTTAATGATGCATCTTTCCTACAATGGCCTGTATTTATGTATTTTTATTCTCGGTTTTCATTTTAAGCATATTTTTCTCCTTTTCTTGTTCATATGCAAAGACATTGGCAACTTTGTACTTGTAGTCAACTTCGTTCCCAAGTTATCGGTGGTCACAGAGAGACCGATTAACAGCTTGATTATATGTTTAGCAGAGATTTTGTGACACGGCAGGGCAAAAAAGCATCTAACGGCGCACTAGCTGTTCTACTAGTGGTCTGAGGCAGTCGGTAAATAAGAAGCGTTTTCAAGTGCAACTTTACTAACGGTCATTTTGGGAAACAGCTCAGACATTTTTCGAATTCCTACGAAGGTTCTAACGATGAATTTAGCCTTAAGATGCTTTTGGGAAACTGACCCAGGTGAATTTCAGTTGTCTCCAATAGTGGCTTCCTTGTCCTTATCTCGTCTCTTCAACCACGCTGATCTGAAAGCATAGAGCAGATAAAATCCCCTTTAGTCCCCTTTCTTTGTCTTCCCTTATTTTCCCTTTCAGATTAGTCCAGATGAGGTAGAGGCAGTGGTGTGGATGCCAAAGGAAGCCAGGCTCTCTCTGTGTTTTATAAATGTTCTGTTAATTCGCAAGTGGTTGAATCTCACCGGGGAAATCACCCGAGCGAGGGAAAAGCACCCCTCTGTCTCAGTACAGTGCATTCGGAAAGTATTCAGACCCCTTCACTTTTTCCACATTTTGTTATGTTACATCCTTATTCTAAAACTGATTAAATTGTTGTTTTTTTACGTCATCCTTCTACACACAATACCTCATAATGACAAAGCGAAAACAGGTTTTTAGAAATGTTTGCAAATTTATACAAAATAAAGAACAGAAATACCTTATAAGTATTCAGGCCCTTTGCTATGAGACTCGAAATATAGCTCAGGTGCATCCTGTTTCCATTGATCATCTTTGAGATTTTTCTACAACTTGATTGGAGTCCACCTGTGGTAAACTCTATTGATTGGACATGATTTGGAAAGGCACACACTTGTCTATATAAGGTCCCACAGTTGACAGTGCATGTCAGAGCAAAAACCAAGCCACGAGGTCGAAGGAATTGTCCGTAGAGCTCCGAGACAGGATTGTGTTGAGGCACAGATCTGGGGAAGGGTACCAAAACATTTCTACAGCATTGAAGGTCCCCATGAACACAGTGGCCTCCATCATTCTTAAATGGAATAAGGTTGGAACCACCAACACTCTTACTAGAGCTGACCGCCCGGCCAAACTGAGCAATCGAGGGAGAAGGGCCTTGGTCAGGGAGGTGACCAAGAACCCGATGGTCACTCTGAGAGAGTTCTAGAGTTCCTCTGTGGAGATGGGAGAACCTTCCAGTAGGACAACCATCTCTGCAGCAAATCATGGATGGAGACAGGGATTTGGACTTGTGGTTTTGACTTAATTCTCTGTACAGGCTTATGATAATGACGGCGATTCTGATCTAACCATGAATATGTTGTGCCACTGGCCTGAGACGATTGAAGTTCAATATGTAGCCTAGATGTAGCCTAGTGGGCTCACATTAACTAGCTAGCTAATTTAGCTTTATCATTGTCGTCCATGCGAGAAAAGATTTACACACACACACACCTTCACTAGGTCACCTATTAAACTTCACCTTGCAAATCATTCTCTCCATTTGCTTGCCCTTTCTCCTTTCTCATAGATATGGGCACTACATGGCCAGCCCTGGACAACATAACAGGAACACACACCGAAATTCCCCCACTAAGCCCTAGCATACTTGCCAGATCAGTGAGAATTTGCCCTGGCAGGAAGCCGGAGGAGGGGAGTTAGAGAATCAGGGCAGTCGCATCAAGTCCAGCTAAATCCCGCCAGAGCTATAGTCTTTAAGGCTTTACCAATTAGAAGCTAATCCCGTCTCTAGACAGCGCTTCATGGGAAGCACACAGTGGAGGGAAACAGGGGAAATGTCAGCGTGTCACCAATTTACCAACAGATCCAGGGCACTGGTCGTCATCACACCTCACCTTGTCTGGGGATCAGCCCAGGAACCACAGCATTGCCAGAGAGTGGGCCACTAGGGCCGTTCTGGGCCGCATCCTGCTTGAGGCTGCTCTCCTGAACCTCCAGCATGGCCCCTAGCACCTGGTCCGCTTCATATGCTGAGCTTCATCTGCATGGGGGGTCAATACAAACCACACACAAGCACATAAGCACACACACAAACAAACACACGCACACGCAAACACACACGCATGCACACAACACATTCATGTTAATGGATTGGTTTTATATAACGTTTCTCACCAGGTCTCAAAGCGCTTTACATTGTTTATGTGTTTGGGGGGGGGGGGTAACCCACTTCATCCCCCACCAATGAGTACATGTAGCCTACTTTCGCACCCAACCCAGGGCACGCATGACAGCAATCCTGTGCCAGAATGCATAACACACACATTGACATAACACAGGAGAAGAAGACACACCCCAGCAGGAACTGTTCAGTGTGAGCTAACAGCAAGGTCATGCTCTGCGGTGGTGGTTAGCCTGAAAAGCCTAGGAAATGGCATAACTAGGGCAGGACAGCAGCAGCAGCAGAGAGGCGTTGTTGGATGCTGCGACAGCCAGAGATGTGTCATGAATGTACTTAGTCAGCCCCCAGCATGTTGATGTAAAGTTGGGGTTTAGCTCATGGATAGCACGTCAGGGTAAGGTGCTACATTTAGCGCCACTGACATTATTTTCGGTGATCTACGAATTGAGTCAAATGCTATTGGGCTTGTGGAGATGATGATGCCTACTGATGTCACCAAACAACTTAGAGCTAGTAGTGTTGTTTATTAAGTGTGTGATTGGCTGCTTCATGTGGCTGTTGGTGAGCCCACAGAATTAAATAGACCAATTTAATTGAATGTATCTCTGTGGGTCAACAAATTACAATAACAAATTATTATAATCTACCATCAATCTGTTCACAATGATTTTAGAGTATTTTTGACTTTGAAAGAGCTGAGGCTAATTCAACAGCGTTACTAACTGATGAAGTTTCCATTTTAATTTACTCTTGGTTTGAATGATTTGTCAATAAATAAACTGATATAAACCTGTTGTATAAAACAGTACATACAAATGCACCACCATAGAATGCATACATATTTTTCAGCAGTCATTGGTATCTATTTGATATAAAGCTGTACCCACCAAAAGAGTGCTCCAGCTTCATGGATCATGGGACAGCAACCCCATCCTTTAGGGCAGTGCTTACCAACTCCAGTCCTCGAGTACCCCCTAACAGTACACATTTTTATTGAAGCCCCGACAAACAAAACTGAATCAACTTGTCAACTAATCATCAAGCCCTCTATGACTAGAATCAGTTGTGTTTGTTCCAGGGCTACAACATAAATGTGTAAAAAGTAAGTAAGAAAATATTTGCACAACAAAATTATTATAATAAAGATGGATGGCAGGAAGCTTGGCCACAGTGATGTACTGGGCCGTACACACTACCCTCTGTAGCGCCTTGCGGTTGGAGTAGTTGTCATACCAAGCGGTGATGCAACCAGTCAGGATGCTCTCGATGGTGCAGCTGTAGAACTTTTTGAGGATCTGAGGACCCATGCCAAATATTTTCAGCCTCCTGAGGGGAATAGGCGTTGTCGTGCCCTCTTCACGACTGTCTTGGTGTGTTTGGACCATGATAGTTTGTTAGTGATGTGGACGCAATGGAAATTGAAGTTCTCAACCCGCTCCACTACAGCCCTGTCGATGTGAAGGGGGGCGTGCTCGGCCCCCCTTTTTCTGTAGTCCACGATCAGCTCTTTTGTCTTGCTCACGTTGAGGGAGAGGTTGTTGTCCTGGCACCCACACTGCCAGGTCTCTGACCTCCTCCATGTAGGCTGTCTCATCACTGTCTGTGATCAGGCCTACCACCATTGTGTCGTCTGCAAACTTAATGATGGTGTTGGAGTCGTGCATGGCCACGCAGTCATGGGTGAACAGGGAGTACAGGAGGGGACTAAGCACGCACCCCTGAGGGGCCCGTGTTGAGGATCAGCATGGCAGATGTGTTGTTGCCTACCATTACCACCTGGGGGCGGCCTGTCAGGAAGTCCAGGATCCAGTTGCAGAGGGAGGTGTTTAGTCCCAGGATCCTTAGCTTAGTGATGAGCTTTGAGGGAACTATGGTGTTGAATGCTGAGCTGTAGTCAACGAACAGCATTCTCACGAAGGTGTTCCTTTTGTCCAGGTGGAAAAGGGCAGTGTGAATACAGGCCCTGATCTGTTTTAAAAATACTGTAAAACTCGTTATAGTCTGCACTGCGATCATTGTGTTTTCAGATTGGTAAAGGTCAAGGAAATGAGACACGCTAAATCCCAGCTTTTCACCAAAGAAACCACTTCCTTGCCACTTTAGACAATTGAAATGCACCCCTACTGTCATAGTTAACTCTGTGGTTTTGTAACGCTGGTAGATTTGAACACTGATAAGCATTGACACTCATGTCGTTGGCAAAGTGCAACAGCGCTCCCTCCAGGTTGTCCGTGGCGGTGTAGAGGTGACCCAGGTTGCGGTGAAGCTATAGTGATGGACGGTCTGACTACACTCGGGGGTCTTCATCCCTGTCCATTCGACCTGAGACAGGTACTCCTCTACCTGGGCCAGACTGCTCAGACCTGGTGGGAGGGGAGCAGAGGAGTGGGTCGTACGCAACACAACAAGAGTCTACAGTTCCATGGCATGGGTCTGTAGCAGTGGAGGCTGCTGAGGGGAGGATGGCTCACAATAATGGCTGGAACGGAGTGAATGGAATGGCATCAAACACATGGAAACCATGTGTTTCATGTATTTGATACCGTTCAACTCATTCCGCTCCAGCCATTACCACGAGCCAGTCCTCCCCAATTAAGGTGCCACCAACCTCCTGTGGTCTGTAGGTCTTGTGGGTCACATCAAGGTCAAAACTCAGCTTAAACAGCACAGAACGATGGGCCTACAGATCAGAGGTAAGGGTCTCAACATCTGAATCATGAGTCTTCAGGGCAGAATTATGGACTGTGAGCGCTGAATACTAGCTTGAGATCCATGTGCATATCTCTGACTCAGGTAAATCTTATATGTCAATTGTAAATGGGAGATTTGGGGGAAATTGGCACGGATCCCAAGTTAGATTCGGCCCAAAAGGAATCACTGTGTTTCAACAAAGAGTTTGACCCAGATCAGCAATGATTTGATTAATCACTGAGTTCAACACAATGCTAAAAATGGACTGAAGACAGTGCAGGTTCTCTAAAATCTAATGTATCTACTACTACCCTTGCAAGAATATTGTAAACACAATAGGACTCATAGACGCATTTTAATTGATTTGGTCTCTGCCTTCTCTTGGCTCTTTGGTAAAACCGCCAGCTCATGGGGAGGTTCCTCCATCTTGTGACTCCCCAACATTAGCCTCGGCCAGCAGGAGGTATGCAGGGACCAGCTGGACAGCACTGGGTCCGTTGACGTCCATGGCAGAGCGCAGGGAGAGCTGAGCAGTAGGTAGCGACTCCTGGTACTTCCCCTCAAACAGCTTCTCTTTGAGTTGTTCCCATCCAAAATCAAATTGTCAGCCATTTCTTCAAACATAATTTGAGATCGAGGGCTACTGATTTTTTTTCTTCTGACAAAACGTTGATTAAGGGGACAACTATCTTCAGATTCGTATTAGACAACGAACAGTAGAAAAGGACTGAAACAGGGAGAGATTCCGACGAACTGGACTTGTCCAATAAGACCCGCTGGTTTTCGTTTTCTCAACAAAAACAAAATCATAATTGCTGCCGAGTACCGTAATGAATAAGACCCTGGTGAGTGTCTGTGTCTGTTCCTCACTTGTCTGTGCAGTATCTGGGCGCGGTGGTGGTCTCTGTCCACCTGCAGGCTGTGGAAGGGCGTTGCGCTGCAAATGGGGATGAGCAGCTGGAAGATCTTCTCATGGATCTTTACCCAGTCTGCCTGCTGTTGCTCTTTGTCACTGGGAAAAAAAAGAGACATAGGCTGCATTCCAATCCAAAAAATGGGCTCCCTTCCCTTCGTCCTAGCTGACCCCACTGCAAATCACACAGGATGTGAACAATGGGGTTGCTCATAGTACTTGCTTTCAGTTGGTCTGTCTACAGATACATTTTTGGGACACTAGACTATATTAGGCTCATGCACATCAGTGTGCCTGTATAAAGTCACATTGTCTTCTCCAACATTTTAATAAGAAGGCATAGGCCTATGACTTACATTCTGCCATGTGCAATATATTTCAATTCATCTAAATTGTATGCCATTACATAACAGGTCTATAATTTCGTGCATCTTGCTATTTTCCCGATGCTTTGGAACTGTCTTGAGTTTCCCCATGGTTTCTTTCTGCGGCGCTTGTTCATTCCACTGTGTTTTTACTGGTCTGGATTCAAGGCAGTGCAGCCACGTCATGGCAATAATACAGCGTATGGGTTGGCTCACGAGGGCTGAAATGTGCATGCACTGACTATGCACTCACACAAGAGTCAAGGGGCTCCTAAGGACACAGACCTGTACTTTCTCATTCATAGAAGGTCCCTAACTGTGAGTCTGTAGGCTCACAGGTGTTTGGCTGTGCTTATGCAGCCACTTGGCAGGGAGACACGTCTATTAATCCGGACACAGTCAGACAGCTGGCCCTAGAGGTAGTTTTTATCTTGTTTTGGAGCATACTTGCAGGATGTGTGCAATGCTCCATTGATTCATAACATTTGCATCACATGAGAGGAATGCATTTTAAAGGCAGAGACGGGGATATAACTTGCTTCAGTGGCTCATCCCTTTAAAGCTTAGGCCAGGCCTAGTGGAAGTCTGTCACCAAGCACTAGGCTATGTATTAGTAAGTAACCTACTCTCCCAAAAGTGAGAGATTCATCGAACATAGCAAGTGGTGGGGACTGTCGTTTGTCTGAAGAACAAATTAAGGATGGTGCCTATAAATGTAGCATATGTACAACTAGAAACAGAAGGCCTTGCTATTACATAATGGTGCACTTTTTCAGAGACCATATGATATGGCTTAGGCGTACTTAGACATTCTTCCTCCTTCAGGAGAGCTAACTTGCTTTCCAGCTGTTCCCCGTACCACATTCTGCCTGAGGCCAACACAAGTTTGATTTTAGTGTTCTCTGACCATCTAGTAATAACTTTGTTAACACTAGTGCCACCTAGTGTTGAAATGGGTAAGATTCATTTTCCATTACTCCATTGCTCAAGAGCTGTACACTGCTAGCAAGTTGTTGCTGCTGCTGTTGTTTAACACAGGAGCCATATATCTAGCTAAAGATGTGGATTATTATCTAGGCTACATCTAGCCCTTGATCATGTCTCTCAGTTCCATTACATTACACATACTTTATTTATACGAGTCATTGGACAAAGGAGTCTTCTGTACGGGGGAGTTTTTTGTTAAGAGCCCCGATGCTCGGTCTGAACATTAACGCGCATAGCTTGCGGTACGGTTGTGCAAACATAAGGAACTTATTTTTCATATCAGAGAGAAATAATTGTCCAAAAACAGAAGGTTACATTGATACACACCTTTATAGGGTTAGGGTAAGTGTTCCCACACGGCCGTATCTCCATTCTACAGCGCGCGTTTACGGAAAACAGACGGAAGGAAGACAGAGGGACCACCTGTGCTAATTAGCTATCTAGCACGCTCCGAACAACTGTGTGTAACGGAAAAAGGCAGCCAGAAACGTGATGTCACTGAAAAATACTGTCGGCTGCAACTGTGATAAAGCCGGTTAAAACAGTGTACAAGTAAGTGTATATTTTGCATTTGTGAAATTATTTAGATGTGATATGAAAGTAAAGGGCTTTATGTTTCTGGAACCGTATCGCAATTGAGAATCGATTCATGTTTAGATGGAGTATTTGGCTGTTTTGGCTGCCAGAGCCAGTCAGTCGACCTCTGAAAATAACATGTAAGGTAATTTGTTTTCAGTTTGGATATTTATATTTTAGTCATTTAGCAGACGCTCTTATCCAGAGCGACTTACAGTTAGTGAGTGCATACATTTTCATACTGGCCCCCCGTGGGAGATGAACCCACAACCCTGGCGTTGCAAGCGCCATGCTCTACCAACTGAGCTACATATTGGTTTGATATTCTGAGTTTGCTCGTCAATACCTCTTTGATGGAAGGTCCTAGGATGATTAGGGTGATATATCTACAATCAGATGATGATAGAGAGCAAGGTACAGCCTTTTCTTTCTCCGTTCCGTTTAAATAAAAGTGACTAAGTTGGTTTCAATGGGGGAATATTATGCACTGGCAGTCTTAAAAGTGCAATCAGCCAATCCTGGTGTTTACAGAAAAACTACATTTTTGCCTCAATTAAATTATCTAGAGATCTTAAACCAACTTTGTTTTTTCCGACAACAACTACATTTTAAATGTACTTGTTAAGTTTTTTATGGATTTTTTATGTAAAAATACGAGCTCAAAAAACTAATAGTCCTATGAATTCATACGCAACCTACTGTAGCCTACTTGCATGACCTAGATAGCTAAAATCACTTGTAGCAAAGTCACTGATGTCCCTAATCCATAATATACACCCAATTCCCTTTGAAGATCCCTGATTATAAATGAATATTTCCTTAATTGGAATTTTTAATGGCTTCCGATCCATGTGCTAGAAATCTACAGACACGTGCGGTGTGTTCCCTGACCTCTATTATCAAAACACATTTATCTTTCAAAATTCCTCCCCTTTGATTTTCTACAAATATTTATCCTATTACAGCTGTGGTTATTAATTCACATAGATCAAATTTTCTATAGCTTCCAGTGCAAATGTCATATACATCTAAAACCACTTGATGTTAGGTCACTGACTTCCCTCCTCCATAATACACCCATTAGAAATGCAATTTTTCATTTAACTGATTTTATATTAATATTTCCTGTGATAGGTCTAATTTTCAAAAGCTCACTGTCAATATGAGCTATAGATCTACAGACAAGTGTGGTGGGTTCTGTCACACCTACTCCTCCTCCCTCCCTCCAGTGCTCGACCTCGCTGGTCTACTAACCACTGGTCCTGGCAACCAACATTGCGCACACCTGCTCCCCATCCTTACTGGACTTCAACACTACCCTGATTACTGTTCCTTCATACAGCCCTCAGTAGCCGCTGTCATCAGGCAGTATTGGTTTTGGTTACGTTAAGTATGGTTCTCCTGTTTTGTATTATCTTCATGCTTATTATTATTAAACTCACCTTCTGCACCTGCTTCCTGACTCCCTGCATATACATTACAGGTTCCTTGACTTCACTTATCATTGGTACACCTTTATTTTATTCCTCCACTTGGTCCTCTTGGAAATTATTTTTAATATTACTGCTTTGGTTACTAATTCACGTATAGATCTACTTTTCTATAGCTTTATATCCAGATGGTTTTGAAATCTAACACTGCAAATACTTTCCAATGTTGTTCATACAGTATTTAACATAGTCCCCTCCAAAATATGTGGCACTCTTGATAAAGATGAGCAAAAAAGACTATAAAATAAATAATTTTAATACTGAGCTATATTGTATGCTCGAACAATTTGGAAAAGTATATTTTGTACCCTATGTTGTTATTCTCACCAAATATGTTGTCTTGTCACACTATTCAAACCCCACAATCAAATAAACAGCTTATGAAGTTATCTTAGCCTATAGATCACATAATGCAAACAACTAATCGGAACTAAAAACTACACACATATTTTGGAATTTCTATGCATCCTTGACAATTGCTACTCAATTTCCAAAAACAGCAGACGTTTTTTCTGCGAACCTGCACATCATCATCCTCTCTCTTGTGCCATCAACGTGAGGGTTATGGCAGGGGAAACGGTGTTGCAGTAGTCTAGTGTGTGGTGCGGGAATAATGACGAGCAAAGCTGGGGAGCTTTGTGTTGAAATTGCCCTAAAAAAGTGTACCAGGAATTCAAGCGAAGCGAACTCAGACCACCTCTTGAGATGGTCTCAGTTCGGTTTGCTTCAGGGGCTCTTTTTAGGAGTCTGAGTTCATTTGGAGTGTTCACACTGCACAAAACCATTGTAAGCAAAATAGCCCCATAACATCAATGATCCACCACCATATTTTACAGTAGGTATGAGTAGGGCTGTGGCGGTCATGAAATTTCGACAGCCAGTGATTGTCAAGCAAATAACTGTCGGTCTCACGGTAATTGGCCGTTAATTAACATAAACACATTTAGCATCTCCTGGCTTCCAAACATAGCCTACAAGCCACTAATGCAGACGTTTGGAACATCAGCATTTTAGTCTAATAAATCCATGTGATAAAGCCTACATCTTCACAATAAATCCATTATTTATTTTAGACAGGTCTTAAGAAACATGATATGAAGAAAATGTAGTGAATTTCAGAAGAACAGAATAGCATACTCTGCATTATCCTTATGTTAGGCCCTGATCTGGCTATGCCAAATGGCTGTGGGCTACACTAGTTCATTTAGCAGACGAAATCTGCTTAGAATTCCATGGCATTATTTTATATTATTTTATAGTATGAAGAATACAATTTAACAAAGCTGAATAAAATAAAGGATATTTTTCCAAACGATTTGAGGGTGTGCGCACATGCTGCTATTCTGTGTTGAGCGTTTAACAAAGAAATAGGTACTCCTATATGCTTAATTTAGAGTTATTAATGTAACTTTAGTTGTTCTACAAACGTTGGGCTATATGTTTAGATTTTTTAATACATTGTAAGGCTGCATGATGCCACTCTAATGATGATTTGAAAAAAGTTGCTTGAAAGGCATGCGCTCTGCTTTGTTTTTTTTGCGCAGGCTGTATACACTTCATCAGTCTCTCATTCAAAATTTGAGAGGAACTTGATAATGCCTCGAATTTCCCGGCGGCATCCACTTTGTGTGGCCGTAATGCACCCTAAACAAATCCATGCCTATTGAGGCCCTTCTCCCTGAGTGCTGCATGCTCCGAAGCTCCTCTTAC